CACGTTGGGTAAGGGCAAAACCTGTTGTATAAATTGTTTTTTTATTTCTTTCCCAATTCTCCAAATAAACCTAATTACTAGCTGGTGCAGTTGGCATCAAGCTTAGAAGTACCAAGGCTATGACTGGGTGTTTTAAAAGACGTTGAAGTGTTAAGACACTCGGTTTGACTCGGACTCATTGCAAGTCCATCTGCAGACATTTGTGACCAGATCCAGTGAAAGAAGTCTCAAGGGCTTAGTTCTGGTGATTCTGTTTCAGTTTGTACAAGAAAGAGCAAGTTGAGATTTTTTCTACGTATTGATGTACACAATGAAAGATTCTCTGAAAGGCTTTTCACTCAAAAGTTGCTCTTGGGACTTGATACTCATTTTGTTAGGTCTTCACATTTGTCTGTACTACATGTATACACACACGCACCCACACATTTCTTTCTTAACTGTCTTCACTGTCAACTGGAGTTTCATGTTTTGTTTATTTTTAATTGCAGCCAACCTGGATCAGGAGACGAGATCGGAGTCTCCCAGCTTCAACATGGTGCTGCGTTCCCATCCCAGGAGTCATAGCATGGAGAGGAAGAGGCTCCGAGCCAACAGCCCGGCCAGGGAGAAGCACCGAGCCCGGCCGGACAGAGTCCTCCCGTTGGTGCCCGGCCTCCCCAAGCCAAAGTCCTACGAGGTGGGCACGGCCAGCTCCTTGGCCAAGGTGTCAGCCCGCAAGGACGAGACACCCCCGCCGTCCCCATCCAGGACCGGCCGGGGCAAGCGAGCCTCGTTTGGGGCAGCCGGCGAGGAGTCCAGGCAGTCCAAATCAGGGGGAAGCTCCCCAGAATCACCTCCCGAGACCACAAAAAATTCTGCTTCTGCTGAAAAACAGTCTGCCAAGGATTCCCTGGCGGAAAAGAACAAACAGCATGCCGACACAGATGTCACTTCACAGGTAACCGTAACCACAGATCACGCTGTTGATTCAAAAGATGCACATAAATCATCTCCCCCACCAACTGTTAGTTCACAGAAGGAGGTTGAACTCAGTGCTGGCAAAGAGCAGGCCGACAAGCTAGCCATGCCCCCACCTTCCAGCGCTGCTGTCGCTAAGAGCAACAGAAGCTTTAGAAGGTCCTCCGCAACTAGGGTAGAGTTGAGGCAACAGCGGCGACGGGATCCTCTTCAAAGGCCCAGGCAGTCACAAATGGTGCTTCCTCAACTGAGGACCAGAAGGGCTCCAGCGATTCCATCTCGACCTCTGAGGCCTCTCAGACGGACACCAGGCCCTCGTCTCCTCGGAGCAGGGCATCCTCCTACAGGGAGAACCGCAGCAGCAGCTTACGGGAGAGCTTGTCGCCAAAAACAACCAGGAAAGCTTCCCCGCCAACCGTCCAAGCCGATACCAAAGAGGAATCTCAAGCAGATCCCAGTAGTGGCCCTTTGAAGCTGAAGAACTCCACCGACGATGTGAAGGATGAGAAGACAAACGACAAGCCCTCACCGAGGAGGCGGCGGAGGGAGCGGAATGAAGCCAGTATTTCTGATACCTCCACTAACAATAACACTATCATACAACCGGACCCACTGGACAAGACCCATTCACCAAGGTCTCGCAGTCACCGGCGGAGGTCATCTGAGGCCAGCAGTGGGGCAGAGAGACCATCTGGTGATGGGATAGTGGCAGACAAGACTTCCAGCGAGACACAGCAAAGAGGGGAATCCGTTGAACAATGCCAGACACCCACAATCAAAGGTACTCTCACAGGTCAGCTAACTGTGTCTGCCTGTTTGCCTTATAGGTTATGTTTTGAGTCAACACTTACCAACTGATAATTGTATATTACCTTAAAAACCTGTAAAATAACTGACGCATGGCGTGGAGCTTGTTTTTTGATGGTGGGGTTTTTTGTTCTTCAGTCCCAAGCCCAAAAGGAGGAGCCTCTGTGATGACCTTTGACATGATGAAAGCGCAAGTGGACACCATGAAGACGGCCTTTGACCAGTGTCTGGAACTGTGTCTTAAGGTCAGGATTCAATCTGAATGCATTTAAACAAGATAGGATCAATAGCTTATTGGAACTAGTACTTCACCAGCTGTGCAAGGTGTTTTGGGAGTGATCAGGGAACTGCCTCATACAGTGTAATGGGCAGATGACTGTACTCTGTTCATGAAGCAACGTTTCTGATTTAGTACCTCTCTCCGGTGTCAAACTTAAACACGGTAGAAACTTGGCACCATGTTTAAACAGAAGCTTCAGTTACGTGTAACTTTACTTCACCCGAAATCCTTGTCTGTCTGTACTCCATAGTGGCATTGTTACAACACAGTCATTCCCTTCAAAATGTGCCTCAATTATTTAACACTCTAAACATCACAAGAATGGTTTTCTTACATGTAAATGCATATCAGTTGGTATAAAATTGATAGAATGCAGAGGTGCTTCTAATTGACAAAATTACATGGACATCAGCCCCTTCTTTTGGTTCATCACATCTGAAGAGAATCATTAAAAACCATATATAAGCTTGTGTAACTTCCTACAGCAAAGACAACACATGTAGTAAAGATGGAGAAATGGTACAAAAATATCCAAGCTACTTTATTCTGTCTGGTTCTTGATAACTTGTATACCATATCGAAGCTGTTTGTGCCACACGGTGGATTGTTTATTGCCTTCATTGCAGGCTCAAAGTTGTGACACACTGGGCGAGAGTCATCAGCATTTCGTGGACTATTTCAGCTCCACGTTCAGCCGGATGCAGGCGGCCTCATCCACCACCCTCACTGCCAGGCAGCGACGCTGTCTCAACCCTTCCTTCACTGACGATACCCTTTCCGACGTCAGTGAGTCCTCCTTGCCGTACGACGGCCCCCTGCGCTCCGTCTCCCCGAGTGTTGTGGCAACAGCAAGGCACTCTGGGGTGTCGCCGTCTGATGTGGACGCCCTGCGGTCCTCCCTCTCCTCCTGTCGGAAGGCCCCGCCCAATGGGATGACGGGCGAAGTGGAAACCACGTCAGCCATAGCCCTGCTGGATCAGTACTCCAGCATCCTGGTGTCACTGGTCAGGCAAAAAATTGGGGATGAGATCAGCGAA